CTGATGAATTGTGCAGTTTACACACACAATTATGTCTGTATTTATAGTATAGATGTCGGAAACGTTGATAGAAAAAAACAACTAGACTGTGCCCTAAGGAAAGGACACAGAGTAGCGTTTTATGGTTGTACATTTGAAAATTTGCCTTGTTCAACACGAGTTGCGTTGTAAGTTGACTTGTTTAGTAAAATATTGTATCTGCTATCTTTTTTTAGACCTAAAAACATTGGGAAATTTAATTATGTCTATATATGTAAATCCATCATTTAGTTAAAATCAACTTTTCTAAATATAAACTAGACGTTTATGGTATTTCACAGGTGTGCGAAATCCCCTTAGATTATACATACACATAAACAAGACTAATATTTTTTTACAATTTTTTAAATTAGCAAATAACGTATGTTTAAATAAAATAAAATAATACCATTATTACTTATCAGTAATACATAAATTAAAATCCCTTATTAAGAATTCACAACACCTGATTAACACTCCAATTTTGAAATCTCCTCTTAAATTTTAGCTATACATATAAGATTAAAAGTATGGTTAACCAGTGAAGATGAGATTTGTGAGATATTTCAAAGATGGGAGAAAGTCTTGTATATATTCATATCTAGCAATTTGAGCACTAGTGAAAAAAATAAAAATCAATGATGATTTATTATGATAAGTGTAGTACATATACCGTAATAAGTTTACTGTTGCAATTTGTAATAAAAGGTTAACTTCATTATGATAGATGTAAAGATGGTAACATACTAATTGTTATGCTTTTTACTATTTCATTTTATATATTATTTAAAATACTATTTAAAATCATTTTATTTATTCATTGGAGTTGTAATAGTTTTTCTGTATATTTGTTACAAATTTTAAATGAAGATTCCTAACTTTTGAAGGATACTATTTTTTTACTCACCTTGTCAAAATCAAACACATTCGTCCAACATGGGAATTATTTAACCCCTGCAAATACAATTCAGACCACAATTTCGTATGCCCATGATTATTTTCTTTTTAAAATCCAATTGTTATAATATGTCCCTTAAATACTTTTTACACCAACAATCAATATAAAAACTTTTACTCTAGTAAGCAATAAAAATTCTTTGTTAAATCACTTTTGGTTTCAGTTTGTATAAAAAAAAAGTAAATTAATATCAGTCAATGACAGATAGTGTTTTGAAAAAAAAGAAATATGTATATTAGAGACTATATTAATAAAATTCATCATTTTTCTAGGAATTTAAAATTTTAATTTTTTTTATTTAGATAAACCCATTTAAATTTCTTAAAATTTTCAATTTTGAATAGGATAATTTAATTTCATTATTTTAAAAGATTATATGATTAAGAAAATAAATGGGTTAAATATGTTTTATATATTCCTTAACTTTTTAGTAAAAATTGAAATTAGTCTATTTTCACGATTTTGGTCCAATTTAATTTCTTAATTGTGTGTGTTTAATTATTTAAACTAAATTTTATTAATTTTATTTGACATTTCAAACATTTTTTATGGTAGCAATTGCATTATTTACATAGTTTGACACATTTTTACTTCAATGATAATTCAAAATCATTTTTGAAACGTCAAATAAATTTAACACAATTTGGTTTAAAAAATTAAACTCATGCATTTCTAAAATTAGAAGGATTAAAGTTTTAATTTCATTTTTTTAAATCATATTTAATCAAAAATAAATTGTATTATATACATTTTAAAATAATATTTAATAATATAAAAAATAAAGATTTAACGTTTAGAACTGGTAAGTTTTGTTCTCTAGTTTTAGTGATTTCTGGTTTTGCTGCATGCAAGGAATAATCATTTTTGCATGTGTTCCGCATTCTCTTTCTTCCTTTTCTGATTTCATTTTGGGTCTACGATTGGTCTTCTTTTACCAATCGGTGATTCATAGGTGCTCTTGGGATTTTCTTGAGGTTCAAACAAATTTTCTAGAAGGATAGAAATTATTCGGTTCTGGCTAAGAAGTAATGGGAGCTAGTTAATTTATTTGTGATTTTCTATGTATGAAATTACCGTTTGGATGGTTGCATGCGTGTCACTTGAATGTTTGATTGAATTGTGTTGAATTTGTAAATGTTGGAACCTGTGAACTGATTGGAGTTTCTCTGCATAAGTGTTCGGCCTGTTCTGATCTTGAGGAAGTGGGTAGGTGAAAATGAGAGTTTGGGGTTGGAAGTGAATTTGGTCAGTGAGGAGAGTCTCAGAAAGTGTAATTGGATCTGTTAGAACCTTTAAGTCCCTCTAAAATGTGTAAAAAGTAGGAAAACAGATTTTGGGTCATTGAGTTGTTGATTATGCATAATTTGAAGTGAAACCTGGTATGAGACTCTTTAGAATGATGTTAGGAAGATTTGAGTACCCTTGGATAGGTGTAATTTGGTATATGATTCATGTATGGAAGATTAGAAGTTGGGAAAAATGTTTAGTTTTGGTAAAGTCTAGCGTGTTCATCATTATGTAGAAGTTCTGCAGAATTATGCAGAAAGCTGAGCACGCGTTGTTAACCGCTCGACCATGCGTTGATTGGCTGCCCGGCCATGTTTAGGTACTCGATCATTAACTAGGTTCGGTCCCTTTAGAGTCTTACCCGTTCATGATCGCCGGTCTTAGGTGGGTAGGTGGTCTCTTAGTAATGCTCGATCTTGTTATAGGGTTCTGTCTAACCTTAGTCCTCGGTCTTACATTAGTATTCAGTCTTGCACCATTGTTCGGTCTCGTAATAGTATTTGGTTTAGTCATAGCATTCGATCTCGTAATATTATTCGGTCTTAACTGTGTTTGGCCTCTGATGGGCCTTATCTGTTAATGACCGTTCTGTGATATTTTAGTAATCAGTCTTATATTAGTATTCGGTATCAACTCTAAGTGTTCGGCCTAAGCTATAAGTGTTCGACCTAAGCCATAAGCGTTCGGTCATGTTGTGGTACTCGAAATTCTCTAGTTGTCGGTCATTAATAGTGCTCGGCCCTCTCTTCAGCTGTACCTAGTATTGACCGTTCGGTCTCGGTCTTGTTCATATGTGTTTGGTGATTTTTGTTCGGCCTATATTTATATTTATTCCGGTGTGCTTTTTTAATTAATTGTTCCATTTGCTTTGATGGCTTATGTATGCATTATCATAATGGTGTCAAAGTGAAACTATGGTATGATAATTGTAATATAGAGGTGAAAGAGAATTCCAAGGAGGAAGGTCTCGGTGATTTGTTATCAAGGTGGTGGTAAAGTATGAATATGGACAGCGAAATCCACGGCGTTCATCCTAACATTCTAATGGTTACCAAGTCTCAAGTAGAGATGAGTAATTCATGTCGTGAGAATAGCAAGAGGCCCTAGTCTAAGGGGGGAGACCTTAGGTGAGGAATAACGGGCTAACCTCGTGTGGCAGTTGATGGATTTCCAGTTTCTACACCCACGAGTGCAAGAACGACCTCAAGCTAAATATTCATACAATCTGGATGGTCAAATCAAGTAGTCGGTCTTTGCCTGAATTAATGTGTTTGGTTCTTGCCTGTTTGAGTAGTCGGTCATTGCATGATTGTAAATGTTTGGTTGTTACATGCTTATGTATTTGTTTTATTTGTAGGATTAGTATGATTAATTAAATTACACTAGCTTACCCTTCTTTTCTGTCTTTTGTCCGTTTGGTTTTTCCTTTGTAATGATCATCCCGTGGATGTGAGCAGAGGGAGAGGAGTTTTCGTCTTGAGCAAGCAATGGAGGGAGAGGATCCATATGTTTAGCATAAGACTGTTCGATCTTGTACATCGTTCCGTATTAGTATAGGAATTTTGTAAAGTTTTTAATCTTTTGGTTATTTTAGAGTAACTGAAGTTAACTTTATTTGCAGTAACTGTTCTACTTTATTATTTTGTGAGTTCTCATTAATATAGTTTCATACTATATATTTTTGGGATGTTACAGTTAAAAATCTCAACTAATTTTAATTGAAATTCGGTAAAGAATTTGAATTTCGATATAGGGGTACCTAGAATTTTTTTAATTTTAATTTTTCACATTTTTTTGTTTTTAATTTTTTTAAATATTTTTTAGTTATTTTAGTTAAATAAAATATATTTTAAAATATTGAAATATTTATATACATTAAATTCTATTAAAATATTAAATTAAACTAAGTATTTATCAAATTTTAAATAAAAAAACAAAATTTTAAAAGAATGTTAAACGGATTTGAAAATCCGTTAACACTTTTTATTTTTTTAATTTTTACTTTTTGTACTTTTTGTTATTAATTTTTTAAAATGTGTTTTTTACTTATTTTAGTTTAATAAAATCTGATTTAAAATATTAAATATTAATATATATTAAATTATATTAAAATATTAAATTAAATTAATTTTGTATTCAATATAAATTTAAAATTAAAATTTAAAAAAATATGTTAAACGAATTTCAAAATACACTTTTATGACTTTTTAACTTTTATTTTTTGTATTTTTTGTTTTTAATTTTTTTTACATATTTTTATTTGTTTCAATTTAAGTAATATATTTTGAAATATTAAAATATATTAAATTATGTTAAAATATATATGTTTCGGTGTACAAGTTGTCCCAGTTGTTATGGAGCCTTAGCTCTCAAGAGAGTGATTATGATACTGCTCTGAAATATTATTCAGGGTCTCTAGAACATAAAGAGAACGTACCTTGGCCTTTGCCCTGTTACTATATTTATAAGCAAAATAAGAAATAACTACCTTACCTAAAAATGTGGTTAGTTACTTATAAATATCTAAAATATCTAAGATATTTTATGTAATAAATATAATATTTAAGATAAAATATCTTACTACATAACAATATATATTAAAATATACTAAATATTTATTAAATTTTAAATTAAAAAAGAAAATTAAAAAAATGTTAAATGAATTTAGAAATCCATTGAAGCCATTGGGCCCAACAGTTGGTTTGGTTTTAAGCCCATTGAAGGCATTGAGCCCAATGTGCACTCGTCCTCCCCACGAATCCCTTGACTCCCGTTTCTTTCCTACACAGTGACAGTCTCACAGAGACAGCATCAACTCTTGTCTCTGTGAGAGTAGGGCTGCAAAGTGAAAATGCATTCAGTGGGGTATCGAGCGAACGCGTTGCTGACCTTTGCCGTCACCATTCTTGCTCTTATGTGCGGCATGGCCTCTCTCTCCGACAACTTCAATTCTCCCTTTCCCTCTGCCCAAGTCCAGGTCTTTTCTCTCTTTCCATTTCCATTTCTGCTTTATGGATCCATTCCCATTCCCTTTACTCACTCTCTCTATGTAGGTCTTGAACATCAACTGGTTTCAAAAACAGCCCAACGCCAATGACGAGGTCACTTTTTCATCTTTCTTTTCAATCAATCTCTACCGTTTTTACAATCTAGGTCATCTTTATTCGTCATTTAATCTCATCTGGAAGCCTTTGTATTTTTTCAGATCAGCATGACATTGAACATATCAGCAGATTTGCAGTCCCTTTTTACATGGAACACAAAACAGGTTCTTCCCTTTAATTTTTATTTTTCATTCTAAGTGTTTTGTCTTTACTCCATTTGCCTCTCTAAAGTAGAAGGGTGTTCTTGATTGGAGGAGCAAGAATGAAAATTGATAATGTTTTCATGTATTGTCATATTATCAACTTTGTCCTTGTTTTGGTTGAATTTATTCTGGAAAGGTTACCCGTCTCAGTGAGAGCTTTTAGAGAAAGTGAAACATTATTTCTTCAACTTGATCCTTACGAAATGAGTGTTTGTTTTCTTTTCTATGCCTCCCAGTATAATGCGTGTCTTAATGTTTAAATTGTCTTGCCTATTATTATATCATGTTTAATTTCATGATTTATATCTATTCTTGCCCGTTCTTTCTTCTGTGGAAACCTTTGTTCTGCTTTATTTTTCTTACCTTCTGACAAGTTATTATTCTAAATATTTTGGAAGCTATAATTTCAGGTCTGTCCATGAACTTGGTTTTGTTTCATTTTGTATGGTTGCAGGTTTTTGTTTTTCTTGCTGCCGAGTATGAAACTCCTAAGCATTCCTTGAATCAGGTATGAGCTGATTTGTTTGTTTATATCTGCATTTGAAATATAACTATTTCTATTATAAGTTTTCCAGTTCCTTTTTATAACGGAAAAAAAAGAAAGAGGCCATAATAATGGTGCTAGATTTTGTTTATACTATTCATGTCACTCAGATAGCTTGCGTGCTGTTTATCTCCCTTCTTGGGTATATGTTGTGTCATGAATGTTGCTTAGGTTCTTGAATTCCATTTTACAGATATCTCTATGGGATGGTATCATACCCTCTAAAGAGCATGCCAAGTTTTGGATTCATACATCAAATAAGTACCGCTTCATTGACCAGGTACACAAATCTAAGCATGTTTTATGACTAATATATGATTTGCTTCAGATNACTTGAATGTTCGATTGAATTGTGTTGAATTTGTAAATGTTGGAACCTGTGAACTGATTGGAGTTTCTCTGCATAAGTGTTCGGCCTGTTCTGATCTTGAGGAAGTGGGTAGGTGAAAATGAGAGTTTGGGGTTGGAAGTGAATTTGGTCAGTGAGGAGAGTCTCAGAAAGTGTAATTGGATCTGTTAGAACCTTTAAGTCCCTCTAAAATGTGTAAAAAGTAGGAAAACAGATTTTGGGTCATTGAGTTGTTGATTATGCATAATTTGAAGTGAAACCTGGTATGAGACTCTTTAGAATGATGTTAGGAAGATTTGAGTACCCTTGGATAGGTGTAATTTGGTATATGATTCATGTATGGAAGATTAGAAGTTGGGAAAAATGTTTAGTTTTGGTAAAGTCTAGCGTGTTCATCATTATGTAGAAGTTCTGCAGAATTATGCAGAAAGCTGAGCACGCGTTGTTAACCGCTCGACCATGCGTTGATTGGCTGCCCGGCCATGTTTAGGTACTCGATCATTAACTAGGTTCGGTCCCTTTAGAGTCTTACCCGTTCATGATCGCCGGTCTTAGGTGGGTAGGTGGTCTCTTAGTAATGCTCGATCTTGTTATAGGGTTCTGTCTAACCTTAGTCCTCGGTCTTACATTAGTATTCAGTCTTGCACCATTGTTCGGTCTCGTAATAGTATTTGGTTTAGTCATAGCATTCGATCTCGTAATATTATTCGGTCTTAACTGTGTTTGGCCTCTGATGGGCCTTATCTGTTAATGACCGTTCTGTGATATTTTAGTAATCAGTCTTATATTAGTATTCGGTATCAACTCTAAGTGTTCGGCCTAAGCTATAAGTGTTCGACCTAAGCCATAAGCGTTCGGTCATGTTGTGGTACTCGAAATTCTCTAGTTGTCGGTCATTAATAGTGCTCGGCCCTCTCTTCAGCTGTACCTAGTATTGACCGTTCGGTCTCGGTCTTGTTCATATGTGTTTGGTGATTTTTGTTCGGCCTATATTTATATTTATTCCGGTGTGCTTTTTTAATTAATTGTTCCATTTGCTTTGATGGCTTATGTATGCATTATCATAATGGTGTCAAAGTGAAACTATGGTATGATAATTGTAATATAGAGGTGAAAGAGAATTCCAAGGAGGAAGGTCTCGGTGATTTGTTATCAAGGTGGTGGTAAAGTATGAATATGGACAGCGAAATCCACGGCGTTCATCCTAACATTCTAATGGTTACCAAGTCTCAAGTAGAGATGAGTAATTCATGTCGTGAGAATAGCAAGAGGCCCTAGTCTAAGGGGGGAGACCTTAGGTGAGGAATAACGGGCTAACCTCGTGTGGCAGTTGATGGATTTCCAGTTTCTACACCCACGAGTGCAAGAACGACCTCAAGCTAAATATTCATACAATCTGGATGGTCAAATCAAGTAGTCGGTCTTTGCCTGAATTAATGTGTTTGGTTCTTGCCTGTTTGAGTAGTCGGTCATTGCATGATTGTAAATGTTTGGTTGTTACATGCTTATGTATTTGTTTTATTTGTAGGATTAGTATGATTAATTAAATTACACTAGCTTACCCTTCTTTTCTGTCTTTTGTCCGTTTGGTTTTTCCTTTGTAATGATCATCCCGTGGATGTGAGCAGAGGGAGAGGAGTTTTCGTCTTGAGCAAGCAATGGAGGGAGAGGATCCATATGTTTAGCATAAGACTGTTCGATCTTGTACATCGTTCCGTATTAGTATAGGAATTTTGTAAAGTTTTTAATCTTTTGGTTATTTTAGAGTAACTGAAGTTAACTTTATTTGCAGTAACTGTTCTACTTTATTATTTTGTGAGTTCTCATTAATATAGTTTCATACTATATATTTTTGGGATGTTACAGTTAAAAATCTCAACTAATTTTAATTGAAATTCGGTAAAGAATTTGAATTTCGATATAGGGGTACCTAGAATTTTTTTAATTTTAATTTTTCACATTTTTTTGTTTTTAATTTTTTTAAATATTTTTTAGTTATTTTAGTTAAATAAAATATATTTTAAAATATTGAAATATTTATATACATTAAATTCTATTAAAATATTAAATTAAACTAAGTATTTATCAAATTTTAAATAAAAAAACAAAATTTTAAAAGAATGTTAAACGGATTTGAAAATCCGTTAACACTTTTTATTTTTTTAATTTTTACTTTTTGTACTTTTTGTTATTAATTTTTTAAAATGTGTTTTTTACTTATTTTAGTTTAATAAAATCTGATTTAAAATATTAAATATTAATATATATTAAATTATATTAAAATATTAAATTAAATTAATTTTGTATTCAATATAAATTTAAAATTAAAATTTAAAAAAATATGTTAAACGAATTTCAAAATACACTTTTATGACTTTTTAACTTTTATTTTTTGTATTTTTTGTTTTTAATTTTTTTTACATATTTTTATTTGTTTCAATTTAAGTAATATATTTTGAAATATTAAAATATATTAAATTATGTTAAAATATATATGTTTCGGTGTACAAGTTGTCCCAGTTGTTATGGAGCCTTAGCTCTCAAGAGAGTGATTATGATACTGCTCTGAAATATTATTCAGGGTCTCTAGAACATAAAGAGAACGTACCTTGGCCTTTGCCCTGTTACTATATTTATAAGCAAAATAAGAAATAACTACCTTACCTAAAAATGTGGTTAGTTACTTATAAATATCTAAAATATCTAAGATATTTTATGTAATAAATATAATATTTAAGATAAAATATCTTACTACATAACAATATATATTAAAATATACTAAATATTTATTAAATTTTAAATTAAAAAAGAAAATTAAAAAAATGTTAAATGAATTTAGAAATCCATTGAAGCCATTGGGCCCAACAGTTGGTTTGGTTTTAAGCCCATTGAAGGCATTGAGCCCAATGTGCACTCGTCCTCCCCACGAATCCCTTGACTCCCGTTTCTTTCCTACACAGTGACAGTCTCACAGAGACAGCATCAACTCTTGTCTCTGTGAGAGTAGGGCTGCAAAGTGAAAATGCATTCAGTGGGGTATCGAGCGAACGCGTTGCTGACCTTTGCCGTCACCATTCTTGCTCTTATGTGCGGCATGGCCTCTCTCTCCGACAACTTCAATTCTCCCTTTCCCTCTGCCCAAGTCCAGGTCTTTTCTCTCTTTCCATTTCCATTTCTGCTTTATGGATCCATTCCCATTCCCTTTACTCACTCTCTCTATGTAGGTCTTGAACATCAACTGGTTTCAAAAACAGCCCAACGCCAATGACGAGGTCACTTTTTCATCTTTCTTTTCAATCAATCTCTACCGTTTTTACAATCTAGGTCATCTTTATTCGTCATTTAATCTCATCTGGAAGCCTTTGTATTTTTTCAGATCAGCATGACATTGAACATATCAGCAGATTTGCAGTCCCTTTTTACATGGAACACAAAACAGGTTCTTCCCTTTAATTTTTATTTTTCATTCTAAGTGTTTTGTCTTTACTCCATTTGCCTCTCTAAAGTAGAAGGGTGTTCTTGATTGGAGGAGCAAGAATGAAAATTGATAATGTTTTCATGTATTGTCATATTATCAACTTTGTCCTTGTTTTGGTTGAATTTATTCTGGAAAGGTTACCCGTCTCAGTGAGAGCTTTTAGAGAAAGTGAAACATTATTTCTTCAACTTGATCCTTACGAAATGAGTGTTTGTTTTCTTTTCTATGCCTCCCAGTATAATGCGTGTCTTAATGTTTAAATTGTCTTGCCTATTATTATATCATGTTTAATTTCATGATTTATATCTATTCTTGCCCGTTCTTTCTTCTGTGGAAACCTTTGTTCTGCTTTATTTTTCTTACCTTCTGACAAGTTATTATTCTAAATATTTTGGAAGCTATAATTTCAGGTCTGTCCATGAACTTGGTTTTGTTTCATTTTGTATGGTTGCAGGTTTTTGTTTTTCTTGCTGCCGAGTATGAAACTCCTAAGCATTCCTTGAATCAGGTATGAGCTGATTTGTTTGTTTATATCTGCATTTGAAATATAACTATTTCTATTATAAGTTTTCCAGTTCCTTTTTATAACGGAAAAAAAAGAAAGAGGCCATAATAATGGTGCTAGATTTTGTTTATACTATTCATGTCACTCAGATAGCTTGCGTGCTGTTTATCTCCCTTCTTGGGTATATGTTGTGTCATGAATGTTGCTTAGGTTCTTGAATTCCATTTTACAGATATCTCTATGGGATGGTATCATACCCTCTAAAGAGCATGCCAAGTTTTGGATTCATACATCAAATAAGTACCGCTTCATTGACCAGGTACACAAATCTAAGCATGTTTTATGACTAATATATGATTTGCTTCAGATTTCTTTAAGCCTTAATTTTTTTATTTTTTTAATGTTCAGGGAAGCAATTTGCGCGGCAAAGAATATAACCTGACTGTTCATTGGCATGTTATGCCTAAGACTGGCAAAATGTTTGCAGATAAAATAGTCATGCCGGGTTTCAGATTGCCAGAGGAATATAGATGATGTCTTGTAATGTTAATTCTCTAGCTGTAACTCTAGCCTTTTCTATGTCGGTTAGTTCAAAGAAACTAGAATCATGGAGATTGTGTCTTGGAAAGTTAAATCAATAGCGTTTGAATGAATACCTAAACATTAGAAGTTTGATTTTAGTCTTCAATTGTCTCTTGAGAAAAAGGATATATATGTAGTGTTTGCTTGGAACTTTTGAAAGTGACTAAGGATCAATTAGAAGCGAAACACTCTGCCTTGAGGAAGAAAATAATAGCTCTATTGAGGTAGTTTTTTCATAGCAGTTGAAAATTTATATTAAGCTTCACAACTTTTGAAAACGAAAGCATACAGACATAAACATCATTTCACTTGGTAATCATTGTTATAAAATTACTTACATCCAAAATTAATATTAACGTTACTTGATAATCTGAATTCCCGAAATTTTGTTAAATGATTTTGATTTGG